TGTTAAAGTTAGAGTTTAGAGTTAGTTTTATTAATAAAAGAGTATAAGTGGGTTTTATAAGCTTTAAAGATGAACAAAAAAGGTTTCTAGTTTCATTTTAATCTAATTTTATTATGATCTGCTATATTAATTGATTTATTTTTTGATCCTGATCCTTGCTATTTGCCCATGATTTAAGAGTATGGGTTGTAGCACATGGCATGTAACCTCTAACCAATTCTTTCCAACTCCTCTAGTACACCTACAAAAATTTTTCCTTCTTGTGATTTTTGGTTAATTAAATTTCAAGATCAGGTGTAATATAAACAAATAAAGCAAAACTATTTTTTACAAATAAACTAAAATAATTTAAAATTTTAATTAAGAAACCACCTTCTATAGTGTAATTAAAAATATTTCTTGTGAAATTTTACTAATAGTAATAACATTAACTTTAACTCTAACTCTATACTGTTCTCGCTTTAACTCTAATTATAATGTAGTTTTATAAATTATAAAGGTAAAAAAATTTTTATAGATGCATTACCTAAAATAATTAATTACTTTCTTTTTGATTTGTTAATCCTTGTTAACATGTATTAACAATTTTTTTTGTTATTAGACTAAATATAATACAAATAGATTTATATTATAAACTTTAAACTTTATTAAATACTTTTTAAAATTTTATTAAATATTTGTTTTAAAAAAATGATATTTTTTAATTTTTTATATAAAATAATTGTTACAACTTTAAATACTACTGTATAAGCAATAATAATATAATTAATATTATACATGCCAATAAAATAATAATTTAAAAGACAAAATCTGAATTATTTTTATTTGAAGATGAAATTGAATTACAGAACCCAAAATAAACCCCAAACCCTGAAATAAACCCCGAAATTCAGAAAAAAAAAAATAAAAAAAAACTAATAATTATAACATCTTATATAATAATTTAGATAAAATAAATAAGTTATGATATTTATAGTAACTAGCATATAAACTATTATGTTGCTTTGGAATTAAGCATTATTTTGTATAGCTAACTTTTAATTCCTCATACTTAACTTTTTTTATATTATTTCCAGGTTTATAATATTTAATGTTGGTCATTTTATTAGTATTTCTATATCAAGAAATCTATAAAGATTTATAACTATTGTTTTGGTTACTAGTTTTACTTTGATAATAATCACTAACTTCATATGTTCTATAATATAACACAACTTTGCCCTTTATTAATAATTAATAGATACTTTATTTTTAACCTTTTCAATTTCAATCCCATTTTGATGATCTTCACTTATAATTTTATAACCAGTATTATTTGCTTTATTTATATTTTCAGTAGGATGTCTATTTTACTATTTGTATAAAGTTTTATTTAATCTATTACATTTATAGTGGTTTGTATAATAATTGACTATAACTGATAAACAATTCAGCACTTGTACTTAAAGACTCTTGTAGTGATATAAATAATTCAGACAGATCTATGTTAAAGATTTATCCTGATTTGTATAGTAATTGTCCAGTTCAATTTATTTACAAACCATTGTAGATGTATAAACGATTTGAATAAGATTATATTAGTTTTGTATTAATTGATAATCCGCCAGTTAACAGAAGAAAACCACTCTAGCATCCCCAACCTAAAAAATTTCACAATTGGGCCGAATTAAAATTTAAGATCAGGTGTAACATAAAATTAAACTAAAAATACCCAAACCCTAACCCTAACCTAACCCTAACTCTGGTAGCGAAATTTTTTAGGTTGGGGATGCTAGGGTCATAACAATAAAATAAAACTCGTGTAACAGAGATATTTTTTTTCTAGAAATAAACTAGCCAATAAAATTAACAATCGTCATTTAAATCATGCGTTTATCATTATGCTGTAATGATTTTCCTCACCATTACGTGATTAGAATCTACTGTTATTGCAGTTTTATTGTTAAAGTTTAAATCGTAAAAAAACAATTAATTACACCTTTTTTTTGATAAAAATATTGAAAAGTTGATGTAGATTTATTCTTTTACTATACTTTTAAAATTCATTAATTCTCCCATGTTATTCCGAGTTCTATGTATCTTTCTTCTGATCTATTGGTTATCTGTGACTGGTATAGTCTCGGGTGAAGTAACCTTCAGTCGTGGAGATATATATCTCCCTTCCCGTTTCTTTTACTTCAAAGATTCTCAGGTATGTATATTCTTGGATCTACCGAAATACTTTAATAATGATTCAAATATTAATTCTTTATCTTTAATTTGATAATCAGAATATTCTTCTCTTAGACATTCATGGTAATGTCTATCGATCTTATCGATACAACCGATTTGATAAACAAGTTATTAATTGGGAACGTGTTGAAGTTGTTCCTTACAATCAAGCTACTTCTTTGATTCCGCATCCCTTTGATAATAAGAAAGTATGTTATATTCATTGATTAGTTTGTTCTTATTCGGTTAAAAAAAAATAAAAATAAAAATAATCTTTTATAAATTTATTTTGTAGGCTTATATTTTAACTAAAGGTACAACTCATTATAAAACGAAAGACCAAGGTCATACCTGGGAATCATTTAGTGTTCCTTATCAACCTTCAAGCAAGGGTGAAGTTCTTTCTTTTAATGCAATAAGGTTTGATTATATATTATTTAGAATAACTAATTGCGATAAAGATTGCGTTGATGAGGTATTTTATATTTTCAATTATTTATTTATTTATTCATTCATTCATTCATTCATTTATTAATTATGTGAAATCTTTATTTTATTAGGTTTATTACACCAAAGATGGATTTGAGACTATTAATAAATTATCGTTAGAAAATATCGGAAAATGTTTATGGGGTGTTTCTACAGAAGATTTTTCTGGTGCTCCTGCAGATTCGATTTTCTGTATAGATTCGAAAAGTAAATTAATCGAATCTGATGACTTTTTCTCTAATAAAAAGATTGTAAAATTTGGTGATAATGAA